CCACTTCAAGCATCACAAGTAAACATCTGCAGGGAAAATAGCCCAGCTGTGCTTGATATATAGATATTTTATGAGGGTTGTGAGACAATGAATATGTTAATTGATCAATCAATCTAATCTAATCCGCATTGAAACAAATGCATACAAAATCAGTGAAAGCCATTATATTCCCATGGATAAAAAAAAATGTTGACCATTTCCCCTTTTAAAAGGAGTAGGAGGAAGCTAATGCGTATTATATCCTACCTCTGTTTAGCTCATCTTCTATATCTGCTTTGATCACACCTTACAAAATGTACATAGATGCTATAAATGAATATGGCTATGTAATACATGGTCCTTTGTTATATATATATATATATATATATATATATATATATATATATATATATATATATATATATACATATATATATATATATATATATATACATATATATATATATATATATATATATATATATATATATATGTATGTATGTTATATATATGTATGTATGTTATATATATATATGTATGTTTTATATATATATATATGTATGTTATATATATATATATACATACATATATATATATATATATATATATATATATACATATATTGTTAGATCTATGATTATATAACTACACCTGTCCAAAAGTACTGCTTTATCATATGTCATGAAATACAATTATCCATTTAATTATCCATTTTAATGTACAGTACAACCACATACATATTTAACACCCTACCTCATCCATATAGTGTATTATCTGCATGAACCCAGCCATACCACTTCATATACAGAATGCATTGCCATGATAAATTCAATAATTCTAACTTTCCTGCAACACACTGGTGATGGGTTTGTGTCTCTTGCTGCTCTGTTATTCCACAGCAAGTAATGCCAAGCGAGATGACAAATTATAATAACAAATTCATAAATGGAAAAAGACATATTTAAGAGTATTTATTTGCCCCCTTCCACAAGTCAGGTCATAGTATAAAAATGCACACACAGACACAGTTACATGATATGCATCTATAGACTAATGATGGTGACTGGACGATGCCCACTCAAATGAGCTCTCTCCTTTGTGCCTGCTGTCAGTTTTCTCTCAGCTGTAATGAGCTGAAGCAGAAAATCACCCTCCATGCAGAGGAAACCCCGCCATCTTTACCATCGCACAGCAGGGGAAAGATGAGAGCCCAGCAGCTTGGCAGGTATTAACGTGCAGCTTTTCAGATAAGACGTTTCAGATAAGCTTTATGTTTTAGCAATCATTGATACACATGATTAGTCTGGTCAAAATGCACGAAGACTCCGAATATGAAATCTTCAGACTAGCTGAGTCCAAAAACTGTTTCGAGATGTCTTTCAGTCCCTGTGTTATAATTTTATCCTTCAGGAGAAGGTCACTAATGATGAACACTAAACGATATGTGGGAAAAAAGAAAAAAAGAGCATAGCTGAATGATTTCAACAACACATCCAGAAGCGCCAGAAGAAATAATAAAAATAAATAAATCTAATGTACAGAGAAAAGATTGACTGACTGGATGTTTTTTATTATTTATTTCTTTGTTTATCTGATGACGCAAGCTGGAGCAAGTATGTACAAGACGTGGGTGAGGTGATATGATTCACTGGGACGGCAGTGACACGAGGTTGTTGAAGAGTTTGAAGCCGTTTGGGATTGAGTCAGTCATTCTCACTCCGGGGAAACATTTCTAATGCTGTAGATAAAGAGTGCATACATGAGATTAAGGGATTCCACCGGGAGAGATGTGTAAAGGTTTGATATCGAAAATACCACCAAGCGCTTGCTCACAGGGAATCATTGGGTTTCTCTCTCGTATATTACCAGGTGTAAGTGTTGTTGTGAACTGGCACTTTATAAATATAACTGAAGTCAGATTAATTGATGTGGATTCATTTTATAATTATGCCAGGCAGTAAAGTCCAGCAAAATGTTTGTAGGCTTTTGCTTGTCAGCTTGTTTTTCAAATACTGATCACAGATTCTAGATCAGAATGAAAGAAGATGGTCTTTGAAGATCTTCGAGGGCTTTTGAGTGTGTTCAATCCTTGAAAAGAACGTATGCAATGTGTATGGACATTCTTCACAAAGCACATTAAACACAACATTTGCGCTTCAACCAAAAACCTTTTGCATATGACTACAGTAACATCGTGCTAAAGCCGGGCTGATCTCTACAAATAATTACTGGATTGCAATATAGTCTTATTCCACTCATTCATTATCTCAGGTGAATCCAGCAGCTATGTATTTAGTATAGTGAAAGTAAGTGTTAAGTGTTTGTTATGTAGGTTGAAAAAACTCCTAATACTTTCTTATACTTGGATTTTGTACTCTGACCTAATGTCAGCAAGCAAACATGTTCAAAATAAGATTGTGAGAATGGAAAAAAAGCCAATAATATTTAAAAAAAAATGTCTACAGACATCTTATCTTGATTTTCTGTAATTTGTGTGTGTTGTTGGAGGAAAATATTAAGAACAACAGTGATTTTTTTTAGCAGGATTATAGATGTCACAAGTTTCACAGTCTAACTGTGGGAAAGATAAAGACGCTCTGCCATCCAGACAAAAATTTGATGAACTACAATATTATATTATAAAGTATAAATTAGAAAAATACCCCAAACATATTTAAGTGGTTGCTGGTGGCTTGTGAAAACTCATAAATTCTTCTGCTAATCAGTCTTGGTGCAGTTTCGAAGCACTTCGTCTGTTCCCGAGTCACAGCATAGAGTTGAAAAGTGATTTTTGTAGAACATCATGTCATTAAAGTGACGTTAACCTTTGCACATTTGGATAAAAAAAATCTCCTCACTTTAGATGTTCTTGTTAAATGTGGTAAAATCAAATTAACTCTTGAGTCATGGCCATAAACCCTAAAACAAACAAACACAAAAATCACAGCAGCTTCTAATATTTAAATTATAATTTACTTTTTCCTACAGCCTGAGTGAAAATTTGTGCAAGATGTAGTGATAATCCCTCTCAGGTTTCCCAATAATTTTCCCAACTAGAAGCAAGGCCACGGCTACGTTGAGCTTTGACTTCAAAAAACAAATCCGTTCTTTCCTCTTTAAGTGTGTGTGAAAAATTTGGAAGTATTTCAAATATACTGCATTTAAGAAAATGGGACAAACACACAAACACAGCAAGCTTCAGCCTCAGTCACCGAGAACACATAACTGTGTTCCAGCTGTAGATGCTACAGCTACAGAGCTGCTTACTTCACGTTCTGCCAGCTCTGTATTTACAGTTGTAGTGACGTGACACACCGATAAGGATGAAAACGACCAGTGTCTGTAACATCTATCATTAGCACAAACTGCACTGGTTTTATCTTCCGTGTCTAAAAGCTTACATAAGGTGCGATACTATCTTCAGTGAGAAGTTGGACCTTTCCCCTGTGCCATCGCGGTCTCCATCTGGTGTGCGGAGCCACTGTACTGCCCTGAGCTCGAACTCTCCACTTCGCAGAGTTCAAATTCTAAAGGAAACCTAAAACGGTAACACGACTGTTGCATTTGGTTTAATTTTTCTATGTTAAAATCCTTGTACTTTCCGATTTATTGGGTTTTTAGTTTGTTTAAATTGATGGGTTATTGGCAGAGAGATGCACTATGTCATTTGGATACTGCATACAACATAAAACCACTTGTTTACTACTTTATTTGTACCTTAACTAACTGGTTACTTTTCAGTTTACCTTTTATTGTTTTAATTTAAATAGTGAGAGTCTAAAGAAAAAAGCAATATAAGACACTTATAGGTTAATGACTTAGACATGTAAGTGGACACAGTATTCAGTGAAAGCAGTACTTAAAACCTATTTGCTTATTTGTGATTTAACGTGATGGTTTATAAAACACATTTAACAATATGTTTTCATATTAAAGTATATTTGTAGCTACTGCATAGCCCAGATTGAACTGAAAGTAATCTTGTAAAATTGCCACGATTTTCATTCAAACGGCCATCACGTTATAAATTTCACAGAGAAACAAAAGCAAAGATTGAAAAAGGTACAAAGAAATGAAAATAGCTGAAATGCTGCCCTCTGGTGGAGATGAGTAAAAAGTTTCCAGCTTCTGTCCTTGCACTGAATATATACTTAGAATATCTACTAAGTATTATCAATTTTTAATTATTATTGTGGTTAAACCAGGGCGTTAAATCATTTCCCATGAAAGTTCCCTCAATTTTTATTCACTAATTTTTTTACACTGACAGGCACAGAAGAAATGCTATGGAGAAAAAAAAACCCTTTTCCTCTCAGTCTCACCCATGTTATATTAGTTGGTTCCAGAGCTTTTACTTAGGTTCCCATTATGTGCTACATGAGCAGCAGAACAACAAAGTTAATCAAGGACCATAACATGGGTATTAAGGCAACAATTACAGTATTTAAAAAATTACTAATCCCCCAATATTATTATACAGTATGCAATGATGGAATAAAATATGTTCATTAGGGGGATTAAAGTTTATGAAAAGTAAAGAAACACACAAGTTGCGAGACAGAAACTTTAATTACAAAAAAACTAAAAAATGGAAAGGAAAAAATGATGAAGATGAGTTTTTTTCCTTTTAAATCGTTTGGATCCAAATACACTGATGTGGAATTGTATAAGTGTGTGGATGTTTTGTTTTCTTTAATTATTACTTAAGTATTGGCAAAGACGCTTAAACTAAACACCTTAACATAACACGCTATGTGGGGACTTTATAGATAAGACGTGGGTATGCTGGTATAGTACTCATTCATTCATTAAGTTCATCTTGTTTGACCTCTACTGTGCGCAGATGCTTTATGGGAAAAATATAGACTGAATTCAAGCTATAAGATAAGATACTCAAGAATTTGCTGATGTCATTGCAATCAAAGGAGGAAAGGAAATCAAAGCTGAATCTTTCATTAGAAACCTCTTAACTTTTTTGGTTTTAAACGCAAGCTTTCTGAGTGTAATTAAAAAAAACTTCATAGCAACAAAGTGACACATGTTTATTTGTTTAGTGGTTACCGATATGGTTCATGGAGAAACTTTTTGTTATTTTATAAACAATGATCTATGTACTGCAAACTGCAGTAACAGAATATGACTGAAGATAAGGATCAGGAGTTTAGTGTTCTGCCAAAAAAACTGATAATTATTGAATGTAGTGCAGCTGCAACCTAGCCGTGCAAGTACTGAAGATAAATTATTTGTTTCTAAGAACTTTTAATCAGCCTTTACATGGTAATTTTTTATCCAGATGCTGTAGGGTTTGCAGAGCATGTTATATTAATCCACAGGCAGATCACTCAGCCACTTATCCATTACTTAAGCATCAACTAGAAGCCCATGAAGTGCATTTGAATTGGTTTATTGTTAATTTGACTCAGTCCGCTCCCTCGGTGCTGACTGCGGCCACAGCTGAAACATAGTAAGGTCCTTCTCTGAGGTAAGACTTCACGCGGATGTAGTGCTGACTGCCCAGGATCTCAGCTGCTGTTGATGAACCTGCAAGTGCCCCAATCAGTTCAAACTTGGCATCTTTGGCCTCCTTCGTCTGGCCCGTTGAACGATCCAAAACGAACTCCATGAATCCAGGAGTGTTAATCATCAGCTTCTGGCCCCATGGCTGAGTGGCAATGGCCTGGCAGACACATATGCACAGACATCCAGTGATATTATATAAGACAGTGATATTATATATCAGAGCAATATACGCTTGTGCCCCCCTCCAAATATCACTATCAGATAGAGACCTTTATTTCTACAGGTAACCAGGTGGTCAGAGCCACAAAGAGGAAATATTAGAAGGTGAAAAACAAAAACAGTGCTTACAGTGAATATCCGCAGTGCTCCACAGTGCAGCTCTGGAAAGGGCTGAGTGCTGATGTTGCGAATCATGTCCATGGGCTGGCTGGACAAAAGGTGGAACCATGACTCTGTCAGGGCCAAAAGGTCTTCTGTCTGCTGCTCTGGCTGCGATGCATAAATTGACCAACTTGCACTTTTGTATCGTTGTTAAGAATTATTTTATTAAAAATGATTTTTCTTTACATGTCAGAAAAATACCTGTAGGGAGAGAAGTTGTGATATCGCGTCCAAGCTTCGAACTCTGAGCTCTGTAGGTCCAGAACTGGCAAGCTGGCTCATTTTTGACAACACAGCCTTGAACTTTTCTCCTGAACAAAAAGAAAACAGTCAAACCATAAGAATGGTCAAAAAATACAAGACAGTCTTGTTAGACCAAGACCTTTCAAAGTCATGTCAGAAAAAAGAGAATAACTTTTAAACTAAAATTCACTCAGATTCAATTTTTTTTCTTTTATAAGAAAATGTTATGTAGAAAATTTCTTTCATAAAGCCAAGGATACCGAGCTAACCTGTTTTCTGCAGGACCTGCTTCCCCTCCACATTAGATCCCAGTAATCCCAAAGTGTCCAGAGCCACGCCGATCATCACAGGGTCCGGATCAAGCGCCATCTCAAACACTTTGTTCTGAAAAGCTGGATAGGTTTCACAAACCTGCTGTGGACTGTCCATGATGGCCAAGTTCCCAAAGAACTTCACCAAACCTGCAGCAGTAATACTCACATCATAAAGTGCAGAATAATGCTGAACTGTATGGATAAGACTGTAAAAGGCATTGCATTATACTGTTGTGTATTAGACAGATAAATATATATTTGGGTGGGGATGATACAGACACTCACCTGGAAGGTAGAGGGAAGAGAAGGGGTCAGTCTCGGCTCCTCTGATCATGTTTGAGATCTTATCCATGATACCTTGCTGGGCCAAATACTGCCGACCATGCTGACTGTGTGCAAGAGTTGTAACCATCTCTACAGCTGTGACCCTGGTAAAAAAGTAAAAAAACAAATTAACAGCATAAACGAAGACGAAATGCATATGAAAGAAGGAGAAAAGCAGTCAAACTTAGTTTGTACTACCTGACCAATACGTCGTCTCCTGTTAATTCGCTGAGCAGCTGAGAAATGAGGCCGCTGTTGGCACAGTAACCGAGAGAAATGGGAGATACAGATGAGATCTCCACCACCAGCTGCAAGCAGAAAGGACAAAAAACTTCATAAGATCATTTATATGAAAGTGTCGAACTCTGTACATGACATGTATACAATATATAAAATGACCTAAGTCAGTATGTGTAAGTAATGTCATACTGTCGACCGATTCCAACTAAGTAAATCGAATTTAAAATCATTGGGTTGCTGATCCTATGTTATAACCCAGTTTGAACATACCTCATATATTCTGTATCTAATAATGTCACTTGTGGCCATCACATCCTTCATGACTTGCAGCAGGTCAGTCTGGAATAATTTGTCTAATCCAGGCTTGGAATGACTGAGCTTAGACAAGGACTGAATCGCCTGAGATAAAACAAAAGAAAAGCAGATACTCCAGGCACTGACACTTTATAAAACGTGAGGAGTGTAATTATAATGCTTTATTCATCACCTGCTTTGCCACAGCTATCTTCTCCTCTCCGATGCAGCGGATTGCTGCTCGGAGGACGTTGTGGTTGTTGAGGATTTCAGTAACAGCATCAGGGTCCTCCACCACTCTCCCAATCTGACACAAGAAGGTGGGATTAACTAATATTTTCAGTGTTTTACAAGATACTTTCTGTGCGTGTATGTGTGCGAGCAGCCTACCTGTGCCAAGGCCAGTATCTTAACAGTGTCATTTGGGTGAGTCAACCCCCCCTGCAGCTCCGCTCTGTAGTTCTGGACCACATGCACAGGGCTCATGGCCATTAAGATGCGTTCAAGGATGTCTACGCATAGCTCCACCTGCGTCCTGTGAGTATTTATTTATTTAACAATCAATATAGCTCCTTCTTATTTTTTATTTTAACAACGGTTATTCTGTACAGTGTTAGACAATGGTAAAATGGAAAAGTGAATGGTATATACCATTCACAGCTGTCAGTGTAGAAATATTTGATGTATCAAAGCACCTTTAAGGCCAAATTCAGTTAACCTTGAAGCTAAGGAAACCAGTAACAAGTCATTTGAAGGAAAGCATAAACCCTTGTATAGCGTAGAATAGTTCCTGCTATTACAGGTTAAAAATTACAACACTAAAAATGTCTTCTAAAAACTAGATGGGACCGGGAATAGCGATTATACATAACAGTAATCAAATCAATCTAAAAACAGTGCTTGGATGAACTCGTTCAGCTGCATGTTTACAATTAAAAAAAAAAACCTTAAACAACACATGTAGTTTAAATGCTAACTTTGAGCATGTTTGTAATCATAGTTCACCAAAAACCGTAGCAATTTCATTGTCCAAAAAGGGCACAGTGGTTAAAAACATGCTCTAAACATGAAGGTTGGTGTTTTAAATGTCAAACAGTGTCCTGCTGGGGCTGTGTTATTAGTAACACTGTAACCAGTTAGCTTGCTAACAATTAGCTCAGTTTCAAGCAGCTCTTTTAGGCTAACTAATAAACCCTTCTTGTACGTTAACCTAGTGTCAATATAGCTAACTGTTAGCAATACATATATTATACCCACTGACTGACTCAGCAGTTATTCGCCAACGTTTAGCTGATGCACAGAGCCAAACGCACCTGTCACTGGAGTTGAGCAGAGAGAAAATGACATCTAAACGCTGTCCTCTAATTGAGTCCTTCAAGACACTGACAGGAATCGCTAACAGAGCAGTTTTTAAACTCTGAAGTTCTTCAACTGGGTCTTCAACTCCAGCGATTTCCTCCAGTAGGCTGTCAATGGAAGCAGCCATATCTTCCAGTGTTTGGGGAGACTTCAGCCAAACGTATCCGCCAAAATGATTTCTTCTTCATCCGGTTCCGGATACGGTGGCTATCTAACATTATGGCACATTACCGCCACCTGCTGGACTGAGAAGGATGCTCCACTTATTTCGGTCCTTGTTTTCTTTTTCTTTTCTTTTTCTTTTTTAAAAATTATTTTTATTTCTTGCCAAATTCTTGCTAATAACCAAATTATCTAATAGTTATATATGTTTACTTGTTGTACGTCAGTATGGTTTGGTACTTTTAGACAATTCAAGGGTAATTTCAACATTTCTGACCAATGTTATATAATTTTTTTAATCAAAATTTTCTCCCCGTCATTCATTAAGCCATGAACATCATACTAGTTCAAAGAATGAGAAGTCACTTTCCCAGTCTGTCGAAAACTGCTCTGCTGACACACAGTTCATAGCAGTTCAAAGACTTAAATGTGCTCCCTGCACCTTGGCCAAGTTCCACTGTGTTTGACTGTCTTTCCACATCAGGTACAAACTCTGACAATAAAGACTTTATATTTGACTGATCATAGGGACACAGCAGTGGCGTACATGTTGGTTGGTCCTCAGGTTTAATCTGGCTCAACAGCCTTCATTTCTGCTCTACATGATCCCTGCCCTATCACCTCCTCCCTCTCCATGTGTCCCCCTTAATTTAAACAACTTGCAAAGTGTAACTTCAATAATAAAATTACGCTGTATTATAACTTTCAGGTTGACACCAACAACTGACATTATTACTGGTAATGGAAAGATCATGCATCTAATAGTGTTGCATTTTCTTTTTCTTTCCTTTTTTTTTGGGGGGGGGGGGTGCATTTCTTTTTGTTTTTATTGTTATTTTTCTAAAGCATTTTATTTATCCATCCATTCGCTTCCGCTTATCCTTTACAGGGTCGCGGGGGGCGCTGGAGCCAGCTGTCATACTTAAGTTTATGACAATATACATTTATTTGTTATGGTTAATTTGTTGCTAAAACCTCATAAGCCTGTAGACCCTAAACCTTAGAGGAGCAGCCAGTGTCTCCATATCAGATTCAGAGTCTGTAATGTGAGTCTGTAATTGTAATCATGGCACAATATGAGCATTTAGGATCCGCAACTAGTGCTGAGTATGTACTAGTGAAAAGGGGCTAGAAATGGCAGATGTAAAGTTAAAGAGTGAGGTTGCCTAGTGTAGAGCATGTGTGAGAGGGCAGCACTCTGGTTACTCTTACTCTGGTTACTTCACTTAAATTTTCCCTTAAAGGCCACATAAACCATAAAATTGCATCTCTTTTAAAATAAGAACAATATAGCCTTCTTGCTAATAGACTATAGGCCCATTCTAAATACAAGTAATTACAGATTACAGCAGAAATTTTACAATGTTGGACTTATTTGACATTAATGCTACATTTGACTGCTACATTTGATGCTAGATACAGAGTTAGGCACTATATATATCATGTATACCAGCAGTCCCCAACCTTTTTTGCACCACGGACCGGTTTATATCTAACAATATTTTCACGGACTGACCTTTAAGGTGTTGCGGATAAATACAACGAAATAAAACCAGTACCGGCACCAAAAAAAGAAGATTTATTCATAACACATGGGAAAATACCAGAGAAACCGAGTTAAGGTCAAGGTCAAGGTCAAGGTCAGATTTATTTATATAGCACATTTCCAACAGCCGATGCTGCACAAAGTGCTTAACAATAACAATAAAATTAAAAACTACAGTGTGATACAATAATAACAATAGAAACAATAAAATAGAAGAATTGAAACAATACTAACTAATTCAGATAAATCCAAAATGCTTGGGTCATAATGTGTTAAAAGCCAGAGCGTAAAAGTGTGTCTTTAGTAAAGATTTAAATTGCTCAAGAGTTGGAGCAGATCTAATATTAAAGGGGAGACTATTCCAAAGTCTGGGACCTGCCACAGAGAAGGATCTATCACCACGAGATTTGAGGTTAGTCCGTGGAATGGACAACAATAGTTTTGAACTAGATCTCGTGGGTTTTCCTGGAGCATAGGCAGAGAGGAGCTCTGACAAGTAGGGGGGGGCTCGGGCGTTGAGTGACTTAAAAACAAAAAGTAAGAGTTTAAATTGGATCCTGTAGGGGACAGGGAGCCAGTGTAAAGAGGCTAAAATTGGGGTTATATGCTCTCTCCGTTTGGTACCGGTTAGCAGGCGAGCAGCAGCATTTTGAACCATCTGAAGGCGATGGATGGTGGCATGATCTAGGCCATAATACAATGAATTGTATTATGGCCTAGGCGGAGTTAACAATAAAAACACAAAAATAAATACATTAAAAACTGATAAAAAAAAACCTGAAAACCATAAATTTCACACCTGAGGCTCAACTCTCGCAGCCCGGTACCAAACGACTCAAGGACCGTACCGGTAAAAGTGTGTGGGGAAGCGCTAACTGATTAAAGGACGGGGACTACTTTGTGTGACTTGTATAGTGCACAGTTAGACATTGTACAAGGATATATGATGAGGAGTTCTTCAAGGATCCATTCTGGGGCCACTTTTGTCAAACATCTGCTTTTTCTTGTGTAACCCAGATTAATACATCATACACAATTAAGATGTATAATAATTCTTTTAAATTAAATGAAAACAAAATGCAGAGTAATGTTTTAAACACAAAGATTAAAGTTATTGCTTAGTGCATCAGATGCTGACATCTTGGCATGTTGGTGTATTTTTGGACCTAAAGCAAAATTTCAGCAGCTACATTTGGCATTTACAAAATTAATTGATTATAAAGAACTGAAAAGCTTGTGTCTTGGCATGATTTTGGATAAACCTTTGCAAGGATTTGTGTTCAGTAGGGTTGTGCACTGTAATTATGTCTTTAGTTAGATTCTTTAAAAAGTAGCAGTTGAAGATATCCCAGATATTTACACTGGCTTCCTGTGTGGCGAAGCATTGATGTTAAAATACTACTATTGGTATACAAAGCACTTAATGGTTAGAGACCAAAAACACATTTGTGATCCACTGATGTCTAAAGTCTAAGATTATCTGAGACATCTGGTTTTCTTTCTATTCCCAAAGTCAAAACTAAACATTGGGGAAGCAGCATTTAGATTTTATGACCCGCATAACTTGAGCAAGCTCCCAGAAAACTTGAGGTCAGCTCTCGCGCTTAGTTTTTTTAATCAGACCTTAAATTTAAATGTGCCTGAGGCCTGATAAGACAGCATCTAGTTGTTGATCTTGCCAAACAATATACAACATATCACCATTTTAATAAGTTCTGTATGCTTCTAGAAGGAGGAGGAGTTTTAGTGTTTTGGTACTTTTTTTTAAAAACATTTATAACATGCAGAATAACTGTTCTGTTCCTTCTAGGTGTCATTAATGTTGTATGGAGGACGCAAGGTACACTCCTCTTAATGAGGTATTGACTCCGGGCTTCGGTGCAAGGTTACATGCTGCTAGAGTTTCATGAAAATGAAAACACTGTCTGTCAGCTAGTATTGTCCTAAAGCCGACCAGTGCAGGAGGTCCTCTGGTCATTTGTTACTAACAAAAAGAACAATAACAAGTTGATGGAAGAGGGTGTCATGCAGGTACAGAGTGAACTCTTTGCAGTTTTCAATTTAATCTAAGTTCTATTAACTAATTTTTGTTCTAATTGACTATGCTTCATCTTTTTATCTGCTGATCCAGTTCTGTCTGTGCAAGCTACGTACCCACCAGTGGTGCTTCCTCTTCTTCAATGTGCTGCTCTTCCACTGCTTGTTATTTGGGGCCGATTTCATCGAGGAGTACCTGCTGCAGCCTACGCCTGGGGTTTATGCTGATGGCACGGTTGTAGGCGTGAGAGAGAAAGCAAGGAAACTGGACCTGAGCAATGCCAAGGAAAATGTGTCACAGGCTTATCCTATCGCTAACCCTGATGTCTGCAAAACCTCTGACCTTTTCCTCCTCACTCTTGTCTTCAGCTCTCCAGATAATATCACCCAAAGAGATGCAGTTAGGAGGACATGGGCCAATCAAACACTCATCCAAGGCTTTCCAGTGCAGATACTGTTTATCATCGGATCAACTCAGACTTCTGCTGCACAGGAAGCCCTCGTGAGCGAGTCTGAACGTTATGGAGATGTGGTTCAAGGTCATGCTACAGCTGACTCATCCCTCCATGGCCCAACAGAGAAGACAGTGCTGGCTATCCGCTGGGTGATCACCTTCTGCCCTCTGGCACGCTTTGTCCTGCTGACCAAAGAGTCTGTGTTTGTCAACCTTCCTGCCATTGTAGGCTATCTGCTTGGCTTACACAGGCACCCTGAGGACTTCTATCTGGGCAGAGTGATCCAGAGAGACTCTCCTGACAGGGATCCCAATAGTCCTGGCTACCTGCCCCCATCTCTCTACCCAAGCAAATACCTTCCTGAATACTGTGAAGGGGCAGCTTACATTCTGTCCCAGGACGTGGTCCGAAAAGTGTATGTAGCATCCGCAGAGGTCCGCGCACCTGTGCCAGCTGATGTTTTTGTGGGACTTTGTGCTAAGAAGGCCGGTGTTGCACCAACACACAGTGCCAGGTTCTCAGGAGGAAAACACATCCGCTACAATGCCTGCTGTTACCACTATATGTTCAGCTCAGCAGGAATGGGGAGCCATGAACTAGACAGAGTGTGGACTGACCTGAGACAGAGGGATAGAAAATGTTCGCTGTTGCAGACCTATTACGGACTGGTGGCCTGCAAAACCCTCACCTATCTGGATAAACTGTCCTTCTTCAACTCACAGGAAGGCAATTAATTTATATATGGTACAGACAACATGTAGAATGCATGTAAAGAAAAACGCAGGGTAAATCTAATAGGAAAGTGCATGACTTTTTGTTCTATTCACCATTAGAATTGCGCACATAATTGTTGGAGCTTTTTTCTTAAAGGCTGGATGATAGGTAACGGTGACAGGCGGTTTAAACTATAATGAGTTTTGTTATCCCTGACCTTTTAAAGTTATTGTGCCTGTTTAGATGTGTATCTGGTCATTATAAAAGCATGGTTGTAAA